GGATATGGTGAAGTTTATTGTCGGGGACAATTGCTCCACCAATCAGAATATCTCAACTGGTCTCGGAATACCCCTGATTGGCTGTGCAAGTCATCGATTTAACCTTGCTATTAATCGTTCTCTGCAGGATTATCAGACTCAGATCGATCAAATTCAGAATCTGATGATTCAGCTCCGACATTTAAAAAATGCAGCTGCACTTTCTAAGGCAACGAAATATAAGCCCCTCAAGGCTAATGCGGCGCGTTGGTCTTCGACATTTCGCATGCTGGAGCGGTAGGTCAAGATTCGCGATGCTATCTTGACAGTAGAGACCGTCAAAGCCCTGGTGCCGTGCAGACATGCTCACCGTCGCGTTTCAGCGTTAGTGGATAAGTTGCGTGAGCTGGACAGTGTTTGCGTGAAGATACAGGCCGAGACGTGTACTCTAGCCGAGGTCCGCTTGCTGTTTAATGCGTGCTCGGAAAATTATCCCATCATGGCCGACTATTTACCACAATCGGCAGCAATTGTCCACACCCCTGTGTTTGAAAGTGAACTGATCAAGCTATAAAACGACTTGCCTTTAGGGAGCGATCAACAACGTGTCATCGATGGCTTCATACTAGCCACGACAGCTCCAACTACTGAAGCCCCGACTAAAGCCGATTTTGCTACATCCGTCCTCCGCCAAGCAAAAACGCCGCGTCTCACTCGCCGCTGTGCCACAGCTTACGACCCACTACTGCTCTGTGCGTCTCCAACCAGCAATACGTGCGAGAGACTGTTCTCTGAATGTAAGCTCGTTTTGACTTTGCTGCGCTCTTTGACGCTCCCAGCGAACTTCGAGAAATCAATGTTTTTGCGTTCGAACCGCAATATGTGGAACTGCACAACTCTTCTTGGATTTCCTCAAGAGTAGGTAAAGGAGCTCGGCTCACCTCGCATTAATAATGTACTGCAATCATTGCAATAACTATTATTGTTCTCTGCTATACTGTAAGTATTATTATGGACACTTCACGACGTAGAGTAAGATTGCTTATTGTATTTCCCATGTCCTGATATGTAGGTCAGGTCACATTTAGGCCACAGTTATAAACGAGAGATGACCTCTTGACATTGTTGATTGTCGTAGTGGGGGAGGTACTCGCGCGTTTGCACTCGCCTGTGGACTTAGCGTATGGCATGAAGGGGTGGAGCAGGCCGTGGAGCGGCGTTCCCTGAGCGAAGCGAGAGAGGACCGGGCCCCCCGAAATGCCTCTTTCTCTTCGCCGCTGCTACCCCTGCGGTAGAACGGACCATCTCGGGCCGAGAGGCCCGTTGCGCAAAGCGCCTAAGACCGTTTCGAGTCAGGCCACTGATTCGTCGCGGAAAAACGAAGACTTCCAGTAGGCGCGGGGCCGCGTTCGGTGGAAGAGCTAAGTACTGTTGGACCTCGTGGAGGTAGGGGACAGCAGGGCTTGGCCCCGAAGAGAGCCGTGCTCTCAAACACGGATCGGGAACGCAAGCCAGGTTTGCTGGTCGTTGAGGCAACCGTGAAGGGCTTTGAGAAGCTGTAGGTCGTGTTGATCGATGGAGGAGCGTCGGGAAATTACGTGCGGCGCTCGTTTGGGGAAGTAAGCCAGCTGTATGCTGAGGCGCGGTAAGCGCATTCTCGTGACACTGTCACTGTTCGTCTCGCGACAGGTGTCTCTTTTACGGAAACCAAGGTCCCATGGGTGTCAAGTTTCTTGACTTTGATAGATCCGAACGCTGTTTGGTCTTGGACCTTGATCAGAGGTATGACCCCATCCTTGGTATGCCGTGGCTGGAGCACCACGAGCCATGGATCGACTGGAGGTCGAAAACATTAGATGCTACGCACTTCTCTCCTGGAGGGGCTTGGGCGAGTCGTGAACCCACCTTTACCAGGACGCAGAAGCGTTATTGGTGCGAGAGCTGGACCAAAAATCGGCCGCTCTGTTGGACGTCGGTGTGTCGGAGGTCGTGACGGACGTTGTTGAGGGCCTTTGTGCCGCAAGGCTCGGTTGGGCATCCGTCGAGTGTTATTGGGCGTGGCCCGAATATTGTTTGTGCGGTGACACATACTCCACTGGGATTGCTCTTGGCCGAATGGCGCGTTGCAGAGTGCTCGTTCGAGCGTTGTCGACGGTTTGTCGTCGCATGGGGTGGCATAAAATCCACCGGATCAAGGGACTTAATTGCCGGGTGTACCAGTTCCACAGGGAACGTAAGTGCTTCTGTACTTGGCCGTGGCAACGCGGCTGTTGCCATACCGCCCTCTTCCACCCGGTTTCGGACGCGGAGGAGGATGATACGCAGGGCGCCTGAGACGTTTTCATCGTACGAGGTGTCCCGCGAGTCGAGCGATACGACTCCACGCGACTGTAATGAGTAGTTACCACACTCATGAATGGAGTGACGGGTGAAGTTGATGGTAACACCAGTTTGAATAATTTGCTGTTATGTAATACTCTACTAGAGCTAGACGACATGTCCATGACCGTTTTAGGTGATGCCTTAAAGGCTGACGATTTAGCCGAAGTGGTCATGATTCGACCTGAAGAACAACTCAACTCATCGTGGGTGGTTGACAAAGCGGTCCTGGAAGACACCACGAAAGCGTTCAATGCGCGTAGTGGATCTGAGATTTTAAAGATCATTCAGATCCATTCCACTCACCGTTGGCTGAGTTTGGTGACGTCGTGTCAAAGACGTCACCCATGGGGCTACCTCCAGATCGAGGGGTCCGCCATGAGACTGACTTGGTTCAGGAACGAAATACTGCGTAACTCAGCAGTGGTCTCTTCCAAAAGAGCATTAACGCTTTCTTCTGTGCCAAATACGAGGCTGGGCTGGTGCATGAGAGCAAGTCTCCGCAATCCACGCTGACACACAGTGTCAGAAAGCCAAATGGAGATCGGAAGAGCATTTAACAAGCTGAATGCAGCTAGGATCCCGGCTCAGACACCGATCCCTCGCAATGATGTTCTATAGAACAACATGGTTGGGAGTACGTTGTACAGTGCGCTCGATTTGGGCGATGGTTACTACTAGTTGCTTATGCGAGCTAGTGACATCTCGCTAGCCGCAGTTAGTACTCCGAGCGGTATGCTCTGGGAAAGGTTGGTGATGCCCCAAGCGCTGTCGAACGCGCCGGCGACGTTTAATCGTCTAGTGGCGCAGTTGTTTCGGCTGACACACATACGTACTTCGATGACATAGTCGTGCGGAGCACATAAAATGTGTAGAACCACGTTGATCATTTGCGAGCGGTGCCCAAGTGCATGCGCACAAATGATTGTACGCTATTGTGGATAAGTGCATTTCCGGCGCGGAAGAGATCCCCTTTCTGGAGTGCTTTGTTGGGAAGCGTGGCTTTTGAGCGGATCCCGTTAATGTTAAAGCCATTGTGGATTGGCCGGCTCCTGTGAACCTGAAAGACTTTAAAAAATGGCTTGGCCTTGCCAATTACCTTCCCAAGTATAGCAATAATTATGCTGATATGGCTCGGCCACGGTCGAATCGCCTTAAGAAGGATGTCACGTGGTGTTGGGACACCGAACAGGAAGCTGCACTTGAGGCTATCAAAGAAAACCTGTCTGTATGCGCCGATACTGGCGTTGCCGGACCCTGATCGTCCATTTAGTGTCGTCTTTGACCCTTCCAATTTCGTGATCGGTTGTGCTCTCTTGTAACCTGACGTCGATGGACGCGATCGTGTTATCGCGTTTTATTCTCGGCAGCTCAAGGCCGCCGAAAAGAATTACTCTCTCCATGACAAAGAACTTCTCGAGATGAAGTATGCCCTGGTGAAGTTTAGGGTTCACTTGTTTGGCTTGAAGACATTTGTGGTTTAAACCGATCACGCTTCGTTGCGTACTGCGACTCAGTCGCCTCACCTTTCCCAGAGAATGGTCTGTTGGTTCTCCTTCTTTGCATAGTATAACTTCGAGGTGAAGCCCAAACCCGGCAAGCAGAATGCTTTAGCCGACGCTCTTTCACGTCGACCCGACTATGAGCTGGCTCATGTAACGAGTGTGACTTTGTCTATCACAGAGCTCGTCCGAGCTGCGTATGCACACGGTGATGTTTGTGTAGTTTTGCTACATGCCCTTGAGAGCGTTGGGTTTAAAGACTCTGATGTCGAGCTGTCTGCGCGATTCCACCGCAATTTCATCGATGGGAGTTTGCTGCACTACAGCACAGACCACGAGGACACACGTCGTGTGGTGGTCCCTCATGATGAGGAGTTGAAGTACCGAATCCTCTATGAGACGCACGATTCACTCGTCGCTGATCCCTTTGACCGTGAGAAGACCTATAGCTCCGTGAGCAGACATTATTGGTGCCTCAAGCTATACAAGTGGTCGAAGACGTACGTAAGTACATGTGAGACGTGTCAACGGGTCAAACTCTCTCCACACTCTTCAGCGCCTTTGGCGAACTTGTTTGTCCCTTCGGGTTGTTGGCAGTCCATGAGCATGGACTTTGTGTTTGACCTTCCGAAGGATTCAGATGGCAACATTGGCGTGGTGATCTTCGTTGACCAATTGGACAAGATGATCCAGTTAGCGGTTGGGCGGGATAATACCGAAGGCAAGGGTACAGCTTCACTGTTTTTGGATCGTATGTTTGCCAACACGGACTCCCTGAGTCAATAGTCTCTGATCGAGACCATCGTTTTACGAGTGACCTTTGGCAGAAAGGCTTTGAAGTACTGGGTACGAGGTTGGATATATCCACGGTTGACCATCCGCAGATGGTCAAACTGAACGTGTTACTTGCGTTGTCAAAGACATTCTTCGCAGTACCTGCGCAGAGACGGCCAAGCGCTGGAGTGCTATGCTTCCACTCGTTAAGTTCGCACTGAATATTGCAGTGCATGCCTCCACAGGCTTTACTCCATTCTATGTGAACAGTTTACGGCACCTGCGCATGCCGTTGACCCCGTCACGACGTGACTCTGGACTTGATGGGGGAGAATCCGATTGGCTGGAAGATATCAGCCCTGCCGCACTACGGAAACAAGTGGATGACTTCTTGTCGGCACGCCTTAGCGTCTTACATCACGTGCGTGACGCGATGGCTGAGAGCCAACATGTTCAAAAAGAACAAGCGGATGCCAGAGGCAGAGGTAATTAATGGAACTTTCAGGTTATGGATAAAGTTTAATTAAACGCTAAAACCTTCTGGACATGCAGTTTCTGCAGCCTTCAAGACTAAGCTACGTCATCGCTTCATTGGACCATTCACAGCCGTGGCCAAGGAGGTCTTGGCGTACACGCTCAATCTTCCCTCGAAGATGCGAACACACGCCGTGTTTTACGTTGGCTTGCTTAAGCGGTATCGCGATCCGAGTTCTAAGGGACTAGCTCCCGCGAAGAATAAGACTCCTGATGCGATTGATACGGAGCCTGGTCATTGGCAACTGGGGGCGGATAGCCCCTTTGCTGAGGATACGCAGTCTGAGTCGAGTATACCGTTGGATAGACAGCCTGAGGCTGAGGACACACGCGGACCAACATGTCCAGCTGGCCATGAAGGTTCCCTCCGGCGTCGCTCGACAAGCATGGGCAGTACCACTACCTTTTAGAGAGGCTGTTGAAGCACCGTCGGCACAAGGGTCAAATCCAGTATCTGGTGAAGTGGTATGAGATGCTATCATCCTGGGAGTATGAGACTCCTCTCCAGCAGGATTGGCCTGACGCCGTGGACGCTTATGATCAGGATCTCCCGAAGCGCCCGAAGGGATCGAAGACACGTCATCCGATGACTCGCGCTTCCCAGAGCTAGAGTGCGCTGTCGAAACGTCAGAACGCGTGCTCGTGCTCGAGTGTTGAGCTTGGGCCGATGCGGCTGTTGCTCCTCTGGAGCATTTTTGCAGGTGATATTACTGAAGACGGTCACTGATCACGACTTTGGCGAATTTGAATCAGACGACGTTCAAGATATATGTCCTGCTTGCTGTAGATTGTTCAAAAAGCATGAATGGAAGGTAACTTCAGAGAGCATACTGCCCAATTCTGGAAGCGGCGTCCTCTTCATCGAGGTCTTTCCCGGTCGTAGGACCACGGCAACGATGTTGATCGCAGGCACAGACTTGCCCTGATCTTGGTAGATGAGACGCTGCGCGTACTCCTCCTTGGTCGTGGCCTGTGGAGTCGGGTGATGCTCACGGAGCTTCTCACGCTGGTCTCTTTGAGAGTCTATAGTGGCCGGCGGCCCGATTATATACAACGACAAGAGGGCTTTGGCTGCGTTGTCAGCTGCTTTGGCCGGGTCAAACACGTAGCGATACTCCTGCCGAGAACTCTGTGCGCTCAAGAGCAGATGGCCCTCGGGTCTGTGAGGCCGACGGAGCTCTCGCTCCAACTCCAGACTCTGAGCCTCGTCCAGCGGATTGATAATCACGTTGGCCTCGGAAAGCTCTCCTTCTTGATTGAGGAGCGGAAAGGATTTAGCGTTAGCAATCCTCGGTTCTCCAGTGATCGTGGCAGTAGAATCTCGTGTGTATGAGCCGGTGGATCGCTCCGCTTTGGCGAGCCTGGCTCACGTCCACGAGCTGGCGACTCAGCGGGACTATCTTCATAATAGTGGACCGTGAGAGGGTCATCCAGGTCAAGCTGACCGGATGTCTGTCCGCGACCTGGTGTTGAAGGAGCCATGGGCTTTGTGCCGTGTTGGTGGTCGTAAATTTCGTGGGATTTCCTCTATGGAAAAGCGGCGTTGTGATGGCCCTGGACCTGACGATGATGCACTTTCACGTGGTGGCTGTGACCGTTGGCCTGTGGACCAATGAGCTCCGGGCATGCGTGTGTGCCTGGCAGAGGAATTGACAGTGCGCTCGTGTAACAGAATGAATCTGAAGAACCATCGCAGTGATGCGGAGTGGCCTCAACTGGAGGCAACGTTTCAACGGCTGTGAACGTGGTGTTCAATAGTCTTGATTGGGGATAGTGTAACGAGGCTACATGTGAAGTTACCCTTCTGGTGTGTCGTACACAGAACGTTACCTCTGTAGAGGTGACGGCCCTCAGGGCTACACATTGCTAGAAGTAGTGTTAACTATAGCATAGTGAGATGCATGTGTTTGCACCGTAAGTGGCTTATCCGGAAGAATAGATTTTGCCTTTTGCAAGGAATTGCAAGTGTTAGTCTTTTGGACTGAGAGTTTTGTTCTTGGTATAGAACTCGGTGTGACTCTCTGAGTCAGACGTCTTCCTCTGACGTGAAGAGCTTCGGCAGACCCGCTGCATGGGTGCTCGATCAATTTGCTCTAAAATGACATGGAAAGATTGGTTTGACGATGCAAACTGTTCGTGCCAATAATTTATTCCGAATCTCTTTTAGTGGTGAAAACTTCCGATAGTTTTAAGCAAGGCATGAACCATCCTATGTCGACATCTGAGATTAAAGCTGAGCAAGGCGAGGCGTGTAGCATAGTGGAGCGAGCGCGAGGCGGTGGATTTCTTTGAAGCTGGGGTTCACAGATGGTTGTGGACATTTGATAAGGGAGGCCAAAATCTCGGCTCCATCCATTATTAAACCCATACAATGTAGTTCATAATGGTAAATAGCAATAGCCAGACTCCAGCTCTTATTGAATGACATACCCCGGTGGTGTTATCATGATGCCAGATGTGATAGTTAAAACGGAAATTAACCGAACCTGGAAATGACACGCGAATAACGCTATTTAAAAGTGTTTGCAGTGTGGTTATCTTCGAGTTCGTATAGGCGAATTATGGCACCAATCCCTTTTTGCCGCCCCATCCATTATGGACATACAATAGGTTTTTGCGTAACTCTGCTTTGAAAAGACCGAGCGTGAAGCGCGGGTGTAACACTACCAACTAACCGCTTATGCTGGCAGTGCTCGGTTAGTACTACACCACCTACGGTAATTAGTCTTTGTGCAGCCATGTAGTCTAAGTTCGGGAAGGTTAGACTATTTATTGTTTTTACTCTATTGGGGAATTCATAAATAGTGTAAC